AAAAAAAAAAAAAAAGATATTACTATTAAGGCCGTTTATTACGCACCTTCCTCATGCAGAAGCTTTTACTTAGGGCTTCTCTGTGCACCCATTTAGCCTTCCAGATACATCTCAGATCCACCCACTACTCTATCCCCAGGGTCCTCGCTCTGGTCCAAGCCACCATCATCCCCGAAATTAAGAACCGTACAGTATGGCCTATTGCTCCTGGGCTACAAACCCTGGGCTACAAACCTGTACAGCATGTACCTGTACTGAATACTGTAGGCATTTGTAACACGAAAAGTATTTGTGTATCTAAACATGACTAAATATAGAAAAGGTTGGCCAGGCACAGTGGCTCACGCCTGTAGTCCTAGGATGCTGGGAGGCCGAGGATCGCTCGAGGTCAGGAGTTCGAGACTAGCCTGAGCAAGAGCGAGACCCCAGTCTCTATTAAAGACAGGAAAAGTTAGCCGGGCATGGTGGCACATGCCTGTAGTCCCAGCTTCTCGGGAGGCTGAGGCAGCAGGATCACTTGAGCCCAGGAGTTTGAGGTTGCTGTGAGCTAGGCTGATGCCATGGCACTCTAGCCTGCGTGACAGAGCGAGACTGCCTCAAATAAATAAATAAACATAGAAAAGGCAGCCATGTGTGGTGATGCATGCCTGTAGCTCCAGCTATTCAGGAGGCTGAGGCAAGAGGGTCACTTGAGCCCAGGAGTTCAAGACCAGCCTGGACAACATAGTGAGATCCCATCTCAAAACAAGCAGCCAAATGAATAAGCATAGAAAAGGTTCAGTAAAAATATAGCACTATAATCTTATGGGACCACCCCTGTGTATGTGGTTTGTCATTGGACAACATGTCACTTATGTTGTGCGGGACTATATCTGGAATTGTCTTGGTTGTCGTTTCCTTCAACGTGCCAGGCGTCTCTTTTGCAGATACCATTCCTTCTGCTTGAAATGTGCTTCCCCACCCGTTCACCTGGGGGTGCTTCAGATCTCAGGACAGCCATCGTCGCTGCTGGGGGCAAGTCCTTCCTGACTCTGTGACCCAGCCGGATTCCTTTTCCATACACCTGTGGAGCTGCCATTCCCTGCCTCAGAGCTCTTGTCCCACTAATGACACCAAAAGACCCCGGGGGCATGGAGCCAGGGCTCGTGTTGGGGGCTGAGGGATGGATTAGAGGTTGTCTGGGGACCCAGGGGCCACTCACCATCTTGCCCACTTGGCCAGGGGGCCCATGAGGTCCCTGCAGGCCTCGGGGACCCTAGGGGACAAAAAAACAGAGAAGGAGGAAGGAAAAAAGCATTAAAAGGAAGAAGGACTTACTTTAAATCATCGTCTAGGAAAGGCAGTAACTGCAAGGGTTTCCCCAGCCCCTTTGACGTGGGGGAGACGCCTCCAATCCCGCTGGTCCCGCCTCCAATCCCTCCACCCCTGCCGGTCTCACCTGTGGCCCCATCTCCCCCGCCTCTCCTTTCGGACCTGGATGCCCAGGGAGACCCTTGGCGGAGGACGAGATGGAGGAACGCGGTCAGAGGGAGGTGTCCCTTCTCTGCTGACACGCACCCCTCCTCCGTGCAGACCCCCTACTCACCACGGGGCCCGGGCGCCCAGTGAGCCCCACCGGGCCAGGGGGTCCTTTCATGGACAGCTGGAAAAAAACAGAGGAGAACAGAGCCTGGGGTCTCCCTCTGGACTCCCACGGCCCCCGCATCACGCCCCAGCTCTGTCTCCCTCTCAGGTTCTTCCCGGGACACCTTCCCGGGACACTCACCTGAGCTTGCTGCAGTACCGCCTGTGCCTGGGCCTGCTGGAAGGACACTGGGGGTCCTTTGTGGGAGCTGCTTGCAAACTGGAACTGGGGGGCAGGCAGTGGTGAGGGGAGCCCCGAGGAGAGGCCCCTCCTGGGTCAGGACCCCACCCCAGGACCAGGCTGCGCCACTCCGTCTCCTTCTTACCGGCATCATGATCACAGTGCCTGGTGGGCCCCGGACCCCGTCAATGCCAGGGATTCCTGGGAGGCCAGCAGGGCCCTGAGAGAGGGCAGGAGGCAGAAAGGTGGAGAGAGCCAGACGGAGACAGAGGACAAAAAGCAGAGGAGAGGCCCCCGGAGGCAGAAGGGGAGCCACAGAGAGAGTTCACAGGTGGGGAAAGAGATTGGCAGGAGTCAGGGCCAGCCTTGGGACAGTGTCCCCCGTTCTAGCCCCTCAGACCCATGTTTAGTTAGACCTTCATCCTCCCAACCTGAAACCCCACTACCCCACCCCCCACAGAAGGACACATCCCAGGGGGAGTCTCTTACCCGTGGTCCAGGGTCCCCAGGGAAACCTGGGGGGCCAGGAGGGCCTGAGGGGCCGACCACCCCCTGTTGGGAACAGAAAGAGAAGTCACAGGAAGTGCAAAGTTGGAGCCAGGCTGACTTCTGTCTGACCCACCCCTAACTCGGACCCCACCACCGAGCCATTCCCGCTCCCCCAGTGCTGTATGGACCTGCATCAAGCCCCAACTTTCCACCCCGACCCCCACTTTGACTCAGTCTTTGAGCTCAAGTGCCCAGTGGCCTCAGGCAGTGGTTACACCGACTCCTCACACCCCCAGCTGGAAGGGAACGCAGGAAGAAGACAATGCGGCCATGACTCACTCGCGGTCCTGCAGCTCCTGGAGGTCCCTCGAACTGCTGTCCCTGGAGCGAGAAAAGAATGTGACCCCTAGTCCTACAAGGCCCCTCAACCCCTCGCAGAGCGGACCCCTCACCTGTTCAATCACCGCGGGTTCTCCCTTCGCTCCCTTCTCTCCAGCGCCCTGGGGCAGGGGAGTGAGAGAAAAGACACGTGAACTTGGGCACAGACCCCTCAGCTACCCAACCTCACGTCCGTCCCCCAACCCCACCCACACGCACACACACACGCACTCGCAGGTCTCCTTCTTTGAAGAAAAGACCCTGTTGAGAAACTCAGCCTCCCTCCATCCACTGGGCAATGCCAAGTCAAGGTCAAGGGGAAGGGCAGGAACTCCAGAGCCTGCTGCCGGGTCCTAATCCTGGATCTGCCTCTTACTGACTGAGTGATGTTGGGAAACTTAGGCAACCCTTATGGCCGGTTACCTGTCACTGCAAAGTTGGTGGGTGAATGACGGCTGTGTATATCCTATGCGAAGACGAATGAATGAAAGCAGTGCTTGGCACGCAACAGGCACTCAGGGTAAGGCAGTTCCAGCTATTCACCTCCTCCCTTGTGCAACACCAAGGCTAGAATCTGAGCTCCCTTCTCTGTCTGCATTTTTTTTTTCCGAGATGTGGTCTTGCTCTGTTGCCCAGGCTGGAGTGCAGTGGTGTGATCATAGCTCACTGCAGCCTCCGACTCCTGGGCTCAAGCGATCCTCCGACCTCAGCCTCCCGAGTAGCTGGGACTATAGGTGTGCACCACTGTGCCCTGCTAATTTTTAAATTTTTTTGTAGAGACAGAGGTCTTGATATGTTACCTAGGCTGCTTGCAAACTCCTGGCCTCAAGCGATCCTCCTGCCTCAGCCTCTCCAGTAGCTGGGATTATAGGCACGTGACACCGCACCCAGCTCTGTTTTCCTAGGCAAATTCTTTTCCTAGGCAATTTCATCCAATCCTTTGGTTAAAGATACCATCTCTCTGCTGGTAAGTCTCAAGTCTGTCTCCATCCTAGACCATCTCTCCTGAACTCCAGCATCTTCTAAGCAATCACCCACTTGACATCTTGATGGGGATGCCAAACAGGTGTTGCCAATATAACACGCCCCAGGCGAGTCTCCAACGATCCTCCCGCCTGGGCCTCCCAAAGTGCTGGAATTAGACGACAGATGGGAGCCACTTTCCACGGGCTCCTCTATGAGGAATCTGCATCTTACTCAACGGTCTCAACATACATCTCCCTTTCTCCACCTCCAATGGCAAGACCAAGAGGGAGCATGTCCCCCATGGGCCCACTTCACTCCATCCCCACGGCCACTATCCTCCTCCAAGCCATCACTGGGACTGCAGGCTTCCCCGCTGCCCCTCTGGCTCCCCCTACTGTCCACATGCCATTCGGCAGGCAGAGGAAGCTTTTAAACCTTCAGGTCAGATCTTTCTTTGTTTTCAAGCGGCTTCCCCTGGTGCTTAGACCAAAAGCCAAACGCCTCCTTCCCGCAGAACCGTCCGTTAGCACAGTGCCTGTTACACGGCAGACACATGATAAATCTTTGTCGACCGTACTGGGGTGGTGGGAGGACGTTCTAGGCAAGATCAGCAGAAGGCAAGAGCGACAATGTGGCCCTTTGCGGCTTCGGGTGGGAATCCCTTCTCTTGCCCTTAACCCAGCCACCGAGACTCACAGGAAAGATCTGGAAGTGAGTCCGAGATGGCTGTTCTGCAGCCCGGAAATCGGGGCCCATGGTGGAGTCACCTCCTTCTTCATCCTCCCTGGCTGCTTCGGTCTCTGGGGTCCCCAGCTCGGTTCCATTGTCCGGGTCCAGGTCTTCCTGAGGGCGTTGGGACAGAGCAGAGTTTGCCTCTGACTTCCTGACTGTCTGCCACCCCCGGGACTCCGCCTTCCAGCCCTGTGCACGTCCCACCAACCTCTAGGATGGTGACGTTGTGGCCAGCAGTCACAGTGGAGGTGATGACCAAAGGCGTGGGGGTCAGATGCAGATTTGGAGCTGGTGTCTCTGTCTTTGGGGTGTCAGTGGAGGTCTGGAGAGAAGAGGGAGGGAGTGTCAGCTCTGGGGCCAGGCCAACCAAGACAAAAGACAGAGGAGACAGGCCCAAAGAGCATCAGAGGCCAGTAGGGGGTTGGCTGGATGAGGGCAGCCACCAGGGGACGCCACTGTGCATGGAGGAGGGGCCTGGCAGCGGCTGAGCCCCAGAGGAGGCCCGGAAGGCAGAGCCTGGCTGGCTCCAGAGCCCCAGTGGTCAAGGTCAAACTCCAGCACTCAGGGCCAGACTCCCGGAAGCCTATCCCTCATGTCCTCTCCCAAGGCAGAGTCCAGCGGTCAGCCAGCCAGGCCCCAGTCACAGCGGGAGCGGCAGCGCCTTCTGGGCTGGACAGCTGCAGGGCAACCGGGTCAAGGCGGGGGGTAGAGGGGAAGAGGGTGGTGGGGGCCCAGGTGAGGGACAGAGCTGAGGAAGGGGCTGGGGACAGGCACACTACTCCTGGTGTCCATGTGCTGGTCCAGAAAGATCTGGAACTGAGACGGAGTGTGACCAGTGACTCCCCCAACCAAAGACCCCAACCAAGGACCCACCAGCTAATGACATCAACAAACCTCAATTACTCCTACAACCAGTGACCCATAAGTGACCGCCCCAGTTAATGGCTTCCATCAGTGGCCCCAACCCGTTACTCTCCCATCCAGTGATTTTCCCAACCAGTAACACCCTCGTGACAAGAAGCACTAACTTAGTTGTGACACCCACCCCCAGGACTAATAAACCCCCCCAGGGACCCTTAATCAATTATCCCTCCAACCAGTGATGCTCCAACAATGAATATTCATAAGGGAACCCAACAAATGCTCCCCAAGCAATGACGCCCACATGGCAATCCCAATAACCGATGACATATCAATGACTTCCTAGCCAACAACCCCTCAGGGTCTCCCAAAATAATGACCTCATCCATCAGCCCCCTGAAAAATCACACCAACTTGTGACCCCAATGGGTGAGTCCACTAGGCCCTCCAATCAGTGACCCCACGCCAACACCCCCACACACTAGTAGACCCCAACCATTAACCCTAAACTAGTGACATCGGTAGTTTCATATGGCCAACAATGGCTTATATCAATGACCTTCAACAGTGACCCCTGGGGAGGAACACCCCAAACCAGAGAATAAGGTCATGGATGAGGGGCCGGAGACCAGTGGGGATCAGAGGCCAGAAGTCAGGCTGTGAAGACCCGAAGTGAGAGGTGGCAGGTCCCTTACCTGGTTCTCCAGGGAGCCAGGAGGTGGGCTTGGGGTCAAAGTTCCCTTGTTCTTCTTCCTGCCCTTGCCCTTGCCCTTGCGACCTCGTCCTTTTTTCTTCCCTTTTCCTTTTCCCTTGCGCCGAGGCGGAGGGGTTTCTTGCTCACCCTGGGGGGCCTGGGAAGAGGGCCCCAGTCAGGTCTACGGCACCCCACTCCCCAGCCCCTCGTTGGAGATCCCATCACTTGGGGTCACCCGGGGCCACATGTCGCTCAGGTATACGACCCGAGGTCAAGGTCATTCATGCTTGGGATCGGTGTGAGGCCAGGGATCACTCGGCCCTGTGTTTGGAGTCAGAGGTGGCTCAGCCCATGACTGGGGCGGAGTTCACGCCTTCCTAAGACCTGCAGCCAGGGACGGCTCAGCCTGTGCCCTCAGGCCAGGAGTAATGCAGCCCCTCACTCACCCCTGTGGCTGCAGGGTCCGGGTTGTCACAGCCGGGGAGGTACCGCTCGCAGGCGTGGAAGGCAGCCCCAGGATCTGGGCTTAGCAGCAGCTCCTGAATGTCTCCCTGAGAGAGGGTAGGAGGCGGGGAAGGGGACGCTAGGTGGACTCTGAGCCCCACTTCCCCAGCAGAGACCTGCCCACCTCCTGACACCAAGGTCTGGTGATTCCCCATCCCAGGGCACCTCAATATAAGGAGGAGGTGGCCCCGTCACAGCCCTAGGGTCCCTCTGCCCCCTGTAACCAAGAGAAGGAAAGATTCTCTCAGGGTCACACCGAACCACAAACCACACCCCACATCCGCCCCATGGAAGGTGCGTTTGTCCCTTCGCTTTCAGGCACAAGCGCACAGCTACTTTGGGCCAGGTGCCCTTTCGGGTACTGGGGCTAAGGAAGATCGTGAGACAGAGGAGGCCCCCAGCCTCCTGGAGGTGACACATGGCATAATCACATACAACACAGTCACCGATAATGGTCACCATGCCACAACACGCTTGTCACACAGCCGCATGACACCTCCAATGTCACAACTGCCCGGCACACAATCGCACGCCACCGCAGCAGCCAGGTCACCGGTCATAGTCACACATCACAACGGGATCCTCCCACAACCAGCCAAGCCGTCACAACTCAGGGCCTTGTGGTTCTACGACGTCACAATCGCACACCACCAGGACGCGCACAAGCACGTGCTCTCTTCCCTCGGCTTCCCAGGGCTTGGTGGATGCCTGGCGTCTCCCTTCTCCAATGTCTTCTCCAGGTTCAGGCTATGACCAAAATGTCCCACCATCTGCCTCAGTTTCCCCCATCCCTGGACTCCTACCTCGAATGTCTGCTCTTCAAGATCCTGGGTCCCCAGTACAGTAAGTCCAGCTGTGCTGATGAATCGTGGCCTCTGGCCCAACACAGGGGGCTGAGGGTCACAGTCAGCCACCAGAGTCACCATCCCGCCGTCTATGCTGACTGCCACACGGTGCCACCTGCAGGGGGGCAGCCTCAGTGGGGGTGCTTCTCACCCCACCCCTCCACGGACCCTCCCCCTTCTTCTACACTCACCTGCCATCTGTGAGGTTGACCTGCTGGGGGAGGGGAGTAAAGGAGCCACCTAGGAGGCTCAGAGCTGGCCCCAGTGCCAGGCCCAGCTGCCTGGCACCCTTGTCATCGTAAACGGAGAGCAGGACAGAATGATTGGCCGGTTGGCCCCGAAGAGTGATCAGCACAGAGAAGTTCTCAGGAAAGTGCCCGTCTGGGTGGGCAGAGGAAACGGGGCCACTCAGACCGCCAGGTGGTGACCCGCACTCCCCCCAGGTTGAACCCCAGGCCCTCCTGCCCCAACTCACCTGGAAAGAGCTCCCACGTGGGGATGCTGAGAACGCTGGCCTTGCCCACCCTGAACGCCCGATCGCCCTCTGGAGCCCTCTGGGGACAGAAGCCAGGCCCCTCGGGGACCCCAGCCTGGCCCCCCCGCACGCCCAGGACCTTCAGCACATCCACGAGCTCTGCAGCAGAGAGAAGCCACAGGGAGCAGTTACAGCAAGCCCAGGACTCTAGGCCAGAGGCTCAGATTTGGGGGTGCATGGTGCTCAGCCTCACCCCCCCACTAGACTTGTGGTTCAGGAGGAAGGAGCAGGCTGGAGCCTGGCACCCCCTCCCCTTCCTCGCCCCTCCACAGATGTTCCGGCCTCATCAGCCTGTTGACTCTGTTTTTTTTTTTTTCCCCTTGGTTTTTGGTGAGAAAAAAAAAAGTTGACCTAGTTCTGGGATGAATCAAAGCTTCCTGGCCTGAGCCCCAGAGCCGGAGCCGGACTGTCCCCCTCTCCCCCAAACTCCCCCTGCACCGGCTCCCTGGGGCTGCTTCCCAGGCCTGGAGCCCCCTTGCCAGAGGAAGCGCACGTGGAGAACAGGGGCTCCTGCTCTATGTTCTGTCCCCACCTCCTCCCCTGGTCTCTTCCCTCTGACCTCCCTGGACCACCAATTCCTCGGGCCTCCTCCATCTGCCTAGCCCAACCTCCTCCATCTGACCTGGGATGTCTCCGTCTCAAATCACCCTCTCTGACCTCCTCCTTCTGACTACCTGTCTCTGATAACCTCCTGACCTCCCCCCTCTGATGCCCTACCTCTCTCATCCCAGCTAAAAAAAGGGACCAGTCTGGCCTGACCAGATCCTAATCTAGGCCATCCTACCGGCCCCACCCAGGCAGCCTGGCCAGGGCTAAGTGGAACCACATGGCTTGGGCAGGGGTGGGCGGGGGCTTCCCCTGGGCCCCCAGCCCCTGCCTACTTTCTGCTCTCCGTCCCCCGCCCTCTGCAAACTGTCCCACTGACCCCTGCCCCAGCCTCTTGGCAGAAGCCACATTCTGCAGAATCTGCCATGACTTCACCCCCCCACCGGGGGCGGCGGTGCTGATCTCACCATTGGGAGCTAGGATGGGAGGCCAGACTTAGGGGAGGTAGGGGCTTGGATGAGGGACACCCTCCCCCATCCCGTTCTTCCTGGGTCAGAGCCCTTGTTTCCCAGACTTCTCAGAGCCCTGTTGCAGCCTCTGTTTCCTCTTGCCCCCAACTTCCCTCTCCTCTGCCCCTCCCCGCCCACTCCTTGTCCTACTTTCTGTGCTGGTCTTCCAAGGTCTCTCTCTGTGTCCAACTCTGAATCTCTCTCTCTCTCTCTCTCTCTCTCTGTCTCTCCACCCACCCTCCCCAGCCAACCCCCACCAGCCCCCATCTCTAATTGCCTGTTCCGCGGCTGAGCTGTCATTAAGAGGAATTTGTGTTGCAGCCCCCTGGGGCTGAGATCTGGACTCCCAGGCTCTGCCAACCACAAGAGTCATTCCCCCATGGAACAATCGTCCCCGAGCTGCCCCCTCTCCAGGCTGGGGCCCTGACGGAGGACTGAGACCCACGGCCTCACCCAGCATGAAGGCTTCGCCCCCACCCCCCACCCAGACTCTAGTCTCTCTGCAGGAGGAAGGGAGCTCCCCTCAACCAGCACTCATTCACGTCGAGAAAGTCCTTTCCAGCAACGAACCCAAAGGTCTCCTGCTTGCAACTTGTGTCCCTTCTGGAATGACCTTTCAGAAACTGACTGCCCTTTCTTTCCATGGCTGGCTTCGTGACAAGGAGACACACAAGAGCCATTGAGTTCTGCCTGTAGGGCCAGGGGGTGGGAGTCTGTCGGGGCCCCTAAGGAGATGCTGGGTGGGGTCTAGGATGCGGAGGGATGCAGGCAGAGAGTAGGCCGGGACGTGCCCGGGATCCCCCCAGGTGTGTGGGAGAGCGTAGGTGTGGTGAGTGTGTGTGCAATTATGTGTTTGTGCGTGACATCGTGCAAGTGCGGGTGACTGTGAACGGACCAGGCAATGCCTGGACGTGTCATTTCTTGAGGTGTCAATGTGTGCAAATATTTAGCCTGCAATGGATGGGTTAGGTGCAGTTGTTTGACGAGTGGCTGTGTGACCCTGGTGTGAGCTTGTTGTCACCAAGCGAGTCTGTGATTGTAATCGCTCAGACTCCTGACGCGGGGGCGTGGTTCTACGCGAAGCGTGGCCCAGTAAGTGAGTGGGTGAGATGGGCTTGAATGTTGGCGGAGTTTGTATGGATGCCAGGGGCAGCATGCGTGCGCGTTTGAACCCGTAGGAGGGTGACAAAAGTTGGGATCGTGTGGCGGGTGGCAGAAGGGGGGGTTGCCTGGGCACCCGGTTGCACATTCCTGGTGTCCCAAGGGGCTTGTATTCGGAAAGGATGCCTGAGATTGCAAGACCATGTGGATGCATGAGCGTGGGAATGGGGCATAGGCCAGTCTGGGAGTACCCACATGGGCGGGCGCCTCTCTGGACTCCGGAGAAAGTGAGAAAGTGGGGTGTGCGTGTGTGTGTGTGTGTGTGTCGTGTTGGGGGGCTGAGCTCACCTTAGAGAGGGATTTCCAGGAGGGCCTAGCCTAGGGTCCCTCAGATCAGGGAAGCTCCATCACCCACCACTTGACGAACCCCGACATCCCCTCATCCCCGGGGCGCCCCCACCCCAAACCCTGCGGGCTAGGGCAGGGCGCCCAGCCAGATTTGCACAGCTGGGCGTGCGTCAGCGCTGACTCACCCATCCGGCGGCCCCCGGGACCCCTGGGGGGGTGGCCCTGAGAAATTCCTCGGGAAAAACACCCAAGACTCTTGCAGCTGGGGGAGGAGGGGGGAGCAACTTCCACTCCCGCCCCGCCCTGCGCCCCGCCCCGCCTCGCCCCTCACCGCGGCCCTCCCCGAGGCTCTGTCCATGGTGCTGATCGCGGCTCTGGGGAGCGCGGGGTGGGGGGAGGGGCAGGAGGGAGGGAGGGGAGGGGGAGGGCCTGCGCCAATTTGGGGCAGAAGAGGAAGAGGGAGAACGGGATGAAGCCATTTGGGGGAGACGCAAAGGGAGCTGTGAGCTCCCGAAGAGCCCCCCATATTCACGCACGCTCACCATCACCCTGAGAATCAGCCGCCTGTGTCCTTATGGGCCATTATTCACACCCCAAAATCCCAACTACACCCTTCGTGGGGTTACCCAGTGGTGTGCAGTCGACACTCATAAAACACACAGGTGTTATCCTCAAAATCAGCCCCAGACACAGACGGACGCACACTTGCAGGCTCGCATCTCACACTACACACCCTCCCAGGGACCCCCCCTGTCACCCGTACTCATATCATACCATCGCCGTCAAACCCTACATCCAAGCACAAACACAATTTCACCCCAAAACGCTGCACGCGCGCTGCTCCACGCACACGCACACACATGCACGCACCTATACATGGCATTAATTCCCACGCACCCGCCGGGAATCACTGTCACACATTTCCCCAGCCCCCCTTCCCCAGATGGCACATCCAGGAATCACTCAGAGTAGGACCCTCGCGTCCCTTCATCAGCAATGCGCGCCACCACCCCCGCCCCATGCACGCCTTCCCTAATCCAAACTCCACTCTGTCTTTTGGGGGCTCGCAGAGTTCTGCACCCCAAGTTCCATCTCCTCCCTCCCTGCTCACCGGCCTGCGTCCCAGGCAGAAGTTGCAGCGCGGCCAGGAGCAGGCAGAGGCCGGCCCGCGGCTGGCCCAGGCCCCGGCGGCGGCTCCCCATCCCCGCGGGGCCCAGCCAGGCTCAAGGCGGGGGACAGGACGGGGCGGTGGCAGGGCGCGGCGACTCCACGGGCTCGGTGCAGTCACCCGCGGCGGCCGGCTCCACTCGGATCCGCAGGAGACTGCCCGAGACCCCGCCCCGGCCTCGCCCTGCGCTGCAGCGCCCGGCCAGGCGGGGCTCGCCGGGGAGGTGGGGGGGGGTGACAGCTGGTGGGGGAAGTTGGGAAAGTTTGTGCCGCGCGCTGATTGGCCGGCCGGGGGTGGAGCCTTCGGGCGGGAGCTGGGCCGTCCGCGCCCCGCCTCACAGTGGAGGAGAAGGGTCACTCCCACCCAGCCCTAGAATCCGGGGGTCTCAGCCTTTCCCCAAACCCCTTCCTCCTAGCAGGTCCCCTCAAAGGACATCTTAGCTTCCTTCAAACCTTCAGCCTCCATGCAGGCGCTGGAATCCCAGGAGGTACAGCTTTATACCAATGCCTTTCTGCCTTGCCGCGGGGGGAGTGTCCAGCCTCACCCCGACTTCCACCCACCTGCCTTATTCCCAGTCCCCTAGCTTCCCCCCAACCCTTCCCTTCCGGTCTCCAAGCAGAAAGTCCTCAACTCACCACAAACCTCACCCCAGATCCCAAAATGGGGTTCTCAGCCTTAACCCCAAACTTCAACTCTCCACCCACCCAAATCCCGGAACTGGGTGTCCTGGCGCCGCCCCAAACTCTCACCACAGATTCCAAAGCACAGTTTTCCCCAAAATCCTCCATCCTCAAATGAACGATCCCACCTCCACCTTAACCCTCATCTCCCCCTCTGCACGCAGGTCTCCAAATGGATGCCCCAACCCAAATCCCCAGCAAATGGGGGAGTCTAGCCCAAAGCAGGGCATTGCTGCCAAGAGAGGAGGGGTGGATTCCTGCCATTCCTGGGGTAAGGGAGAGCCCACCCTCATTGCACTGGGACTCCCCTTCCTTCAGCGAGAAGAGGCCCCCCAAGGGGTCAGGTAGAGCTTCTGTGTAATTGGACAAGCGCAGACACGAAGGATATGAGAACGTTTCCCCAGGGAGGAACCGAAGGGGCGTATCCTGGGCCCTGAACTGCTCCCCCAAGGGGAAGAGGGAGACACGGGCAGCGCCTCCCTCCCAGCCTCTGGCTCCTCAGACAAAGAGTCTCTGTGTCCCTGGAGAGGAGGGGGTGGGGCCCCACCAAGACTGAGGGGGAGATGGGGCCCCCCCAGAGAGGGAATCTCCCTGAGCAACTCCTCCTCCCTCCCCAGGGACACCCGAGGCTGAGATTTCTCCAACCAAAAGGCTCTCACGAAGTTCCTGCCCTGCCCTGCCTTGCAGGGAAGTTCTTCCTGTAGTCTAATCCCATCATCTCCTGACAGTTCTACACCCCTTCCCTCTTTCAAAGGACCCCTTGTGGGCCCACACTCTCTGTCACCCTCTTTCACTCTCTCCCTCCGGTGGGAGAATCTTCCACCCAGAACAGAGACCGTCGTTCCCGCACGCTCATGGCAACTGTCGCCAGCCCTGAATCATTTACAATCATAATAAAAATAAAAATTTAAAAAACCAGTTATGAGTGTAGCAGGTGTGGGGAACTAGTTCACAGATGAAGGAAATGGGGTACGGAGAGTTTAAGGGGTTCCCTCCAACTGCTCAGGACACAGTGAGGCAGCTCTCCCCAGGGCCCCTTCGCCCGCCCTGCAGGGGATCGGTTGGAGGGTGCTTAGGAGGCGGTGGCCAGAGTCAGGTGCCACCCGGCGGAGGTCACGCGTCCAGGGAGGGGATCAACATGGCTACCACACCCCGGACTGTGCTGATCTCGGGCTGCTCATCAGGAATTGGCTTGGAGCTTGCAGTGCAGCTGGCTCGTGATCCCAGGCAGCGCTACCAGGGTAAGGGGACCCAGGCAGAGCCAGGAGACAGCTGGGGTGGGGGCTGCTGTCCAAGTACCCTCAGCACCCAGCTCTGTTTCCACCACCCCATCCCTTCCAGCTGCACTCGCGGGCTGGCACAGGACCCAGGATGCGTGGCGTGCATCTAGGAATCATCCCTTCACCCCCAAAACATTTATTGAGCACCTAGTGGGTGCCAGGCTCTATTCTGGGTGCTGGGAACACAGCCAGGAACAAAATAGACAAGAATGTTAGCCCCAGGTAGTGGCATAGTGGGGGAAGCGAGGGAGGGCAGACAATGAACCGATAAAAAGAAATTATGATATATCTGGTAAGAATAAGTGTTAAGAAAAATAAAGCAGGAAGGAGAGTGGTGCAAGGTGGGTGGGAGGTATTTTCAGAAGGGCTGGCCCCGGAATGCTTTTCTGAGAAGGTTTCACTTGGGCATTCCCTGGGATGGGATAATCACCTCCCTGACACCTGCTCCTCCACCTCTCCCCAGATTACTGCTCTGAGATAAGCCTCTTAAGTGCTCCTGACCTTGGGACTGGAAGGGGGGCCCTCTCGTTCTAGGGACTCGCCCTCCCGCAGCTCTGGAGTGAATTGCCCAGACCTCACCCACCGTGAGAACCCCTGACCTAGAGCAGGCTTGAGTCAAAGTGGGCAAAGGGTTGTTACTTAAGAGGAGGCTTCTGGGGCTGAGGGCATTGCCCCAGTTGGCAGGGCTGCTTGTCACAGCCCTCTGCCTTCTGTTTTTGAGACACACACAGCTTTGACTGTGAGAGCCTGGATGCCAGTGTGCAGGGAAGAACTTGTGTCCCTGGGGGGGATGGTGGGGCAAACGGGTGTATGAAACTGCTCAAGGGTGAGGTTTCTGGAGCTCTTATGATGGGCTGGGCTGCATCCTAGGTGTTCTGCATCTAGTAAGTCATTTAACCCTCACATCAGCCCTGTGAGGTGGATGCTATCATTCACCCCATTTTAGAAATGAGGAAACTAAGGCACAAACTGTCAAAGGTCCTTGCTTAAAAGGTCACCCAGCTAGAAAGTGCCAGAGCTGGGATTTGAATGCAGGCAGCTGAGCCCCTGGGCCCATGTTTGCCACTATATTGCATGTAGGTGCAAGTGGCCCCATTCATCTGTATGGTACCTGTGAATCATACAGGCCCACAGACAATATGCAAATGCCCCCGGGAATGTGCATGGGTGATTTGGATGCACACATGAGGAGATATGCAAACGTTATGCTGGTGTGTGTGCAGACATAGTATATACGGTGAGGCTGTGCTTAAGAGCATGAGCTTAGCACTCCAACAAACCCAGGTTCAAATCTCAGCACTAATACTTGCTAGGGGTGGGACAGGCAAGGAACTTCACCTTCCTGAGCCTCAGTTTGTTCATCTGTGTAATGGGGGTAATAACTTCACCTACCTGTTCTGGTTACTATTGCTAAATAACAAATCACCCCCCAAATTGTGCAACCACAATAATTTTTTTTTAAATTTTTTAACTCATGGTTTATATAGGTCATGAATTCAGGAAGGGCTCAGCTGGGCGGTTCTGGTTCAGAGTCAATAGTTGCAACTATAAGAGTGGGGGTTGGAATGTGTGGAGGCTGGGCAGGCATGTCTCTTCCTTCCAGTGATCTCGAGACTTCTCAATGTGGTCTCCCTTCCTGGGCTAGCTTGGGCTTCCTTACAGCATGGTGGCATCCGGACAACTGGGCTGCCTCATGATGACCAACAAGAGTGAGCACTCTGGTGAACAATGTAGACACTGCAAGACCTGTTGCAAGGCCAAGCTGCAAAAACCACATAGCATCACTACCAGTGGTCCCCAGCCAGTCATAAGATTCAAGGGGAAGGGACTTAGATGCCATGTCTTGACGGGGGTGTGGTAAGATTTCAGCAGAGCATGTGGGATGGGAGATATTGTTGTGGCCATCTTTGGAAAATAAGTCAGTGATTCAACTCATAGGGTTCTTGTGAGTTCGAGATGGTGTTTATAAAAGTGCTTAGCACAATACCTAGCACATAGTAAATGTTCAATAAATTGAAACTTACTACATTGATGATGTAAATGTGGCTATTCATAATTGAGTGTGCATATATGCACATGTTGGCTATTAGTGTATATGCATTTTTTCTCATGGAAATCTGGAAGTTTTAAAATTATTATTATTATTATTATTTTTAGAGACAAGGTCTCTGTCACCCATGCTGGAGTGCAGTGGCATCATGACAGCTTACTGCAGCCTTGAACTCCCAGGCTCGAGGGATCCTCCCACCTCACCCTCCTGAATAGCTGGGATTACAGGTGCACACCACAACACTCAGCGAATTTTTAAAATTTTTTTTATAGAGATGGGGTCTCACTATGTTGCCCAGGCTGGTCTCGAACTCCTGGCCTCAAGCGATCCTCCCACCTTTGCCTCCCAAAGCACTGGGATTACAGGCATGAGCCAAATCTGAATAGATGCTGAAATCTGTTTTATATTTATGGATTTTATTACTTACTTACTAGACTATCAATTCCATGAAGGTGGGGACTTTGTCTATCTTATTTCATGCAATAGTGTCAGCACCTAGAATAGGCATAGCATACAGTAGATGCTCAATAAATACCTGTTGCATTGACGGATGAAAGGATGGATGTGGGTACATATCCACGTGTGTACACAAGTGTGCATTTGTCAGCTGAGGGACAAATGTAGGTATGTAAACTTGTGGGTCTCTAGCCCTCTGTGACTGACAGCTCATGCAAGATCACCAGAAACATGTAAGCCCACGCACAGGGAAAACGAGCGTTTGTCCCGGCTCTGTTCTCTGTTCCCAGTGGTGGCCACCATGAGGGACCTGAGAAAGAAGGAGACACTAGAAGCAGCTGCCGGTGAGGCTCTGGGACAGACCCTCACTGTGGCCCAGCTGGACGTGTGCAGCGATGAGTCGGTGGCCCAGTGTCTTGGCAGCATCCAGGGAGAAGTGGACGTGCTGGGTGAGACTTTGTGGCTTGACACGAGACATAAACTGAGGCCTGGGGGTGGAGTAGACTTTATGGAAAAGAAAATTCTCACATACGGAGAAAACCATATGCGGTTGGGAAAATGGTTGAGTCACTTGGGGAACGGAACATGATGAAGAAACAACTCATGGTCCCTAAACCTTCGGAGCAGGGTGGCTGTGGCTGTCTTGATGCAATTTGGGGTCAGAGCTGAATTGCTCATGCATTAACGGGGACACTATTCCCAGTGGTCCTTCCGCCCACTCAGGGCTCAGGGTTCCCTAGGACAAATGATAAACTGTGTTTAAAGATCATCGGGGCTCTGCATTTGCCACCAAGATACTCTAGACTTCCCCCGTACTTGGGGTGAGGGGTGACCCAGGGAGTGTCCCAAAGTGACACTAGAAGGGCTGAGGGACTTCAAGGTAACCCTCGGCATCTCTCCCTTAGTGAATAATGCCGGAATGGGCACGGTGGGGCCCGTCGAGGGGCTCAGCATAGCTGCCATGCAGAACATCTTTGACACCAACTTTTTCGGGGCTGTTCGTCTGGTCAAAGCTGTGCTTCCAGGCATGAAGAGGAAGCGGCAGGGCCACATCGTGGTGGTCAGCAGTGTCATGGGGCTACAGGGTGAGCCATGGGGACCCACCCCTGGAAATGTCCCCCACGCCCTGCCACTCCAGTGTCTGACTGTCCCCAGAGTGGAAGGATGGCAAATGGATTTTAGATCATATTCCAAATGCGTCTGGAGAACTGTGTGAAGAGGGATTCTGAAGCTCAGTAGGAAAATGTTCTCGGGTAGATTAAACATGTCTACGATGAAGTAAGAGCAGGCAGTGGTGGTAATGCGCCATCAACAGCCATCTTGGCCAGGCGCGGTGGCACACGCCTGTCATCCTAGCACTCTGGGAGGCCGAGGTGGGAGGATCACTTGAGCTTAGGAGTTCCAGACCAGCCTGAGCAAGACCCTGTCTCTACCAAAAATAGAAAAACTTAGCCGAGTGTGGTGGCCTGCGCCTGTAGTCCCAGTGACTCAGGAGGCTGAGGCAGGAGGATCGCTTGAGCGCAGGAGTTCGAGGTTGCAGTGAGCTATGATGACGCTACCGCACTCTACCTGGGGGGGACAGAGCAAGACCTTGTCTCAAAAAAAAAAAAAAAAACAAAAACCAGCCATCTCTACCACCCCAGCAGCAACCCTACTTCTGGACACCTCCAAAAATCTTCCCCAACCATCCCCCAAAACCCAAAGGAACCATCAGAACTCCTCCTGAGACTCCTCCTTGTCACACACCTCCCACCAGGCCCCAGAGATGCCTGGGTTTAGAAGGACTCTGAGGTTCAGCAGAAAAGAGATCGGTGGTTGATTGGTGATGTCTGCTATGGGTCAACGCTGCAGGCCACCTGCTTGCCATCAATGTTCCAGGATCTTTCCTCCTTAAACCCTCCAGACTCCCTTCCTCCCCCTGGAATTTCCTGGGATCTGCCCCCTTCCTCTGCTATCCCCTAAAGAATCCACCCTACTTGTTACTCTGCCGTGGAGAAGCTGCATCTACGAGGAATGACAAGGGCCCTACTGAAGGGGGAATCCCATGCCCAAGTGACCCCAGGGATGTAGAAAATGGTGGATAAGGGAGTTTCCTGGGACTAGGTGGGGCTGGGAAGAGGTGCCAGGACACCCCCATCGTGACCCCATATGACCCCGTCAGACAATGCCACTCACCCATTGCATCGGCACCAGACCTCTCCCTCACTGGGATCCCCAGATCCTCCCTGCTCTGTCTCCCAAAGACCCATCACTCTGGGACCCACAAAGCCCATCCTCCAGACTCCCAAGAGCCCTCCTTCCTCCCATGTTCTCAGGTGTCATGTTCAACGATGTCTATGCAGCCTCCAAGTTCGCCCTGGAGGGATTCTTCGAAAGTCTGGCCATCCAGCTACTGCAGTTCAACATCTTGTGAGCGGGCACTTTTGGGTGGGAGCGGGGGGCACAGAATGAGGAGGGATGAAATAATGACAGGAGAAATGCAGGAGGGAGGAGGAAAGGTTGGCAAAATGGGCAAAATGGGCCGGGCACGGTGGCTCACGCCTGGAATCTCACTGCTTTGGGAGGCCGAGGTGGGAGGATCGCTTGAGGCCAGGAGTTCGAGACCAGCCTGGGCAACATAGCAAGACCTCCATCTGGGCAAAAAATTTAAAAAATTAGCCAGGCATGGTGGTGCATGCCTGTAGTCTCAATTACTCGGGAGGCTGAGGCAGGAGGATTGCTTGAGTCCAGGAGTTCAAGGCTGCAGTGAGCTATGATCAGGCCACTGAACTCCAGCCTGGGCGACAGAACCAGACCCTGTCTCTATAAATAAAAAAATGGGCAAAATGGGGCAGCCAGTGTGTTGGGGCACCAGACTCATGCCCCCTGCCCTGTGCCCAGCATCTCCCTGGTGGAGCCAGGCCCAGTGGTCACCGAGTTTGAGGGGAAGCTCCTGGCGCAGGTTTCCACAGCAGAGTTCCCAGGCACTGACCCTGACACGCTGCGCTACTTCCGGGACTTCTACCTGCCAGCCTCCAAGGAGCTCTTTCGCTCCGTGGGACAGAGCCCGCAGGATGTGGCCCAGGTGAGTGATGGGCCCAGAGCCCCAAGACCTGGCTCAGATATATTGGGGGGAGGGGCCCTCCCAGGGTCCCAGAGCTCAGGGCTGCACCCCACAGGTCATTGTCAAGATCATCAGCAAGGCCCGGCCACCCCTGCGCCGACAGACCAACGCCCGCTACTCCCCGCTGACGCTGCTCAAAGCCGTGGACCCCTCCGGCGTCCTGTACGTGCGAACCACGCACAGCCTCCTCTTCCGCTGGCCTCGCCTCCTCAACCTTGGCCTTCAGTGCCTGGCCTGCGGCTGCTTCCCAACTCGGGTGGGGCCTCGGTGAGCAGAACAGAGCCCCACCGTCTGCCTGCCGTACAGACCAGACTCTCGTTCATTCATTCTGCAAACTCTGCCTCACCTGCTCTGTGCCTGAGCATTGCTGTGCCTCAACCTCCAGGCACAGATCCTCCCATGGTCAGGGCTGGGGCAGAGAGAGGGATCTCTCTGGGATCCTGGGCTGAGGGGCCCAGAACAGGAAGCCGGAGCTGTGTCTGGGAAGGCAAGGGAGGCTTCCTGGAGGAGGGGGCCTTGAAGGACCAGACAGATTCTGGCTCATTCAACCGCATGACTTCATGGTCCCAGGCCTGAGAATACAGGCGTGAGTCATAAACCACCCCGCCCCCACACATACACCCAGAGCTCCGTTGGCCAAGGGGACTTTCCCAGACACACACCCCATCAGCAAGACGTGTTCATGCGCACACCAGCAATGCATGTATACTTTTTCCATTAAATGTATAGTCACAACCACGAAAATATTTAAGAAAGATCAGTTTCTTAAACGTATTTGTGTGTGTGTGTGTGTGTGTGTATGCAGGATAGGGTCTCCCTCTGTCACCCAGGCTGGAGTGCAGTGGTGTGATCACAGCTCACTAAAGCCTCCAATTCCCAGGCTCAAGCGATCCTCCTGCCTCAGCCTCCTGAGTAGTTGGGACTACAGGCCCATACCACTAGGCCTGGCTAATTGTTTTTTTTCTTTTTTTTTTTGAGACAGAGTCTCACTCTGTTGCCCGGGCTAGAGTGAGTGCCGTGGCATCAGCCTAGCTCACAGCAACCTCAAACTCCTGGGCTCAAGCCATCCTCCTGCCTCAGCCTCCCGAGTAGCTGGGACTACAGGCATGCGCCACCATACCCGGCTAATTTTTTCTATATATATTTAGCTGTCCAATTAATTTCTTTCTATTTTTAGTAGAGACGGGGTCTCACTCTTGCTCAGACTGGTTTCGAACTCCTGACCTTGAGCAATCCACCCGCCTTGGCCTGCCAGAGTGCTAGGATTACAGGCGCGAGCCACCGCGCCCAGCCCGTTTTTTTTCTTTTTGTAGAGACAGAATCTCTCTGTGTTGCCTAAGTTGGTCTCGAACTCCTGTCCTCCAGCAATCCTCCTGCTTCAGCCTCCCAAATTGCTAGGATTACAGGCGTGAGCCACCACAACTGGCCAATGTCTTAAATTTAAAGAAAAAGTTAAAAAGCAGGCTGGGGGCAGTGGCTCACCCCTGCAATCCCAGCACTTTGGAAAGCTGAGGTGGGAAGATCACTAGAGGTCAGGAGTTTGAGATCAGCCTGGGCAACAGAGTGACACCCCATCTCTACAAAAAATTTTAAAAATTAGCCAGGTGTGGTGGCACATGCCTGTATTCCCAGCTGCTAGGGAGGCTGAGGCAGGAGGATCGCTTGAGTCCAGGAGTGTGAGGTTGCAGTGAGCTATGGTGACACCACTGCACTCTAGCCCAGGCGACAGAGCAAGACCCTGTCCAAAAAAAAAATTAAAAATCAATAGGGATTCCCCCTAGCCCCCTAGCCCCCAAGATAGTGTCCCCAAGTTTTCTGTCCTTCCCTCCAGAGACTTTGGAAGCAGATGGCCTCTGGATTTGAAACGCTGGCTCTGCTCTGGTGCGCTGGGTGACCCTGGACTGGTGACTCCCTAGTCACCTTCTATAAAGCACAGCTAGCAATAACAGGGCTGAGTGACAGGCAAAGTCCCCTTCACTGATCGATGTCACTTGAATTTTTGTCGTGATTGACATTCAGCTACCATCTTTGAATGCCAGGCTCTAGGCAGAATTTTGTGAGGGTCATTTCGTCTGCCCCACAGCCTTAGGAGATGGAGTTACTCACAAGCTCCGAAGTTCACAAAGGGGAAACTGAGGTCATGGGGCACAAAGGCAAGGGCCAGAATTGAGCCCAAGTCTGTCCAACTCCCAAGCCCATGTCATGCCAACTCTGTGCTGGTCTTTAGGGGTCTCTAGTGGCCTCTTGCAGAAAAAGAGAGACTGAGCCCTATAAAGAGGTCTCTTTGAGTCCATGCAGAGATAGCAGGGGCCTCTGTTGCTCAGTCATTTTCGTCAAATAAACTCCCTCCTCCTCTCCTATTTTAGATTTTTGAAGCAATGTGGGAATGCCTGCAAAAGAATATATGAAATCAGGCAGCGTGCAGTGGCTTATGCCTGTAATCCCACCACTTTGTGAGGCTGAGGCCAGAGGATTGCTTGAGGCCAGAGTTTGAGAGCAGCCTGAGCAACATAGCAAGACCCCATGTCTTAAAGAACAGAAAAATTAGCTGGGCATGGTGGCGCACATCTGCAGTCCCAGCTACTGGGAGCTGAGGTGGGAAGAAGAAGCTGTACTCGATATTTGCTGGTGGGGTGTACGATGGCAGGTGGGGTGGCGGGCATGTGGGGTATGATTCAGACTGGGGCCTTAGCACCTGCCCTGCATGCCCACCTCGCTCCTGTCTACTTTCCAAGGTTGGTGATGCCATAGACCCCCCAGTATCCACTCGATAAATTCTTTTTCTGCTTAAATCACCCTATCGCATATAATAAAGAACAATTGGCATAACTCCAAATGGCAACTGCTATGGTTCGAATATTTGTCCCCTCCAAAACTCATGTTGAAATTTAATCCGCAAGGTGGCAGTATTGAGAGGTGGGGCCGTTCACGGATTAACGGTTTAATAGGTTAACGGATTAATGGGTTATCAGGAAATAGGACTGATGGCTTTATAAGCAAAGGAAGAGAGACGTGAGCGAGCACACTCGGCCCCTCACTCTGTGACGCCCTGCGCCACCTCGGGACTCTGCAGAGAGTCCCCACCAGCAAGAAGTCCCCCGCCAAATGCAGCCCCTTGACTCTGGACTTCTCAGTCTCTAGAACTACAAGAAATAAATTCCTTTTCTTTATAAATTACCCAGTTTCATGTATTCTGTTATAAGCAACAGAAAGAAGACTAAGACAGCAACTCTAAAAACAAATGCAATGGAGGGGGAAAAAAGCTCCTATTAAATTCTGGCCAGGGCTGGGTGCAGTTGCTCACACTTGTAGTCCCAGCTACTCGGGAGGCTGAGGCAGGAGGATCATTTGAGCCCAGGAGTTCGAGACTGCAGTGAGCTATGATCACACCACTTCACTCCAGGCTGGGAGACAAAACGAAACCCTGTCCCTAAAACAGCACAAAAAAATATATATATATTGCTAAAGGATATTTAAAAAACGATTCTCTACCATCCTCTTTCCCTTGACTGCCAGTTCTTGACCTACAACCCTTGCCTGTTATAATTTGATTGGGTTATCTCTCCAGATTTTCTTCACGATTAACAAGGGGAAAAAAAACTGATGAATGGATAAACACACTGTGGCATATATACACAATGGAATAATGCAACCTTAAAAAGGAAGGAAATTCTTACGTGTGCTACGACTTGGATGAACCTTGAGGACATTATGTTATGTGAAATAAGCCAGATGCAGAAGGGCAAATACTGTGAGATTCCACTCACATGAGCTACCCAGAGCAGTCAGATTCGTAGAGACACAAAGTCAAACAGTGGTTGCCAGGGGCTGAGGGAGGGAGGAATGTGCAGCGAGTGTTTATCGGGGACAGAGTTTCAGTTTGAGAACACGTCTGTAATCTCAGCACTTTGGGAGGCCCAGGCAGGAGGATCGCTTGAGGCCAGGAGTTCTAGACCAGCCTGGACAACATAGTGAGACCCCATCTCTACAAAAAACAAAAAAATTAGCTGGGCGTGGTGGCATACGCCAGTAGTCCCAGCTACTAGGGAGGCTGAGGCAGGAGGATCGCTTGAGCCCAAGAGTTTGAGGCTGCAGTGAGCTATGATGATGCCACTGCACTCTAGCCTGAGTGACAGAGTGAGACCCTGTCTCAAATAAATACACAAATAAAATTTAAAAATAAACACAAAATGTTTTAATGGAAAAAACTGAATATATGCTTTTTTTTACTTTTTCACTGAAAGCAGCATACTATACATACAGTCTGAACTTTAGT